TTGCAAATGGCAAGATTTCATTATTTTTTATGGCTGAGTAATATATTGTATATATTGTATACTAGTGTGTGTGTGTGTGTGTGTGTACCACATCTTCTTTATCCATTTGTCTATCAGTGGATATCTAACTTGCTTCCTTATCTTAGCTATTGTAAATAGTTCTGCAATTAACATAGAGGTGCACATATCTTTTTGAATTAGTGTTCTGGATATCTTCAGATAAATACCCAGAGGTGGAATTACTAGGTTTTATTTTTAACTTTTTGAGGAACTTCCATAATATTTTCCATAGTGGCTGTACCAATATACAATCATATCAATAGTGCACAAGGGTTCCCTTTTCTCCACATATTCGCCAACACCTATTGTTTGTTCACTTATTAATGATAGTCATTCTGACAGGTGTGAGGTAATATCTCATTGTGGTTTTTATTTGCATTTTCCTGATGATTAGTGATGTTGAGTATCTTTTCATATGTTTATTGGCCATCTGTAGGTCCTTTTTGGAGAAATGTCTATTCAGTCCTCTACCCATTTTTTCCTCAGATTTTTAAAAATATTAACCCCTTATCAGATGTGTCATTGGCAAATATATTCTATCAATCAGTAGGTTGTCTGTTCGTGTTTTGATAGTTTCCTTCACTGTGCAAAACCTCTTTAATTTGGTGTAGTCCCATTTATTTTTTCTTTGGTTTCCTTTACCCGAGGAGATATGTAAAAAAAAAAAAAGTTACTAAGAGCAGTATCAAAGACTTTCTTGTCTATGTTTTCTTCTAGGAGTTTTATGGTTTGGGATCTTACATTTAAGTCTTTAATCCACATTGAGTTTATTCTTGTGTGTGATGTAAGAGAGTGATCCAGTTTCATTCTCTTGCATGTGTCTGCCCAGTTTTCCCAACACCATTTACTGAACAGACCGTCTTTACCCCATTGTATATTCTTGCTTCCTTTGTCATAGATTAATTGATCATGTAGTTGTGGGTTTCTCTATCTATTATGTTCCATTGCTTTATGTGTCTGTTTTTATGCCGGTACTGTGATGTTTTAATTAATATAGCCGTATGCTACTTGATATGAAACAATACTATAACTCCAACATTGTCTTTCTCATGATTGCTGTGGCTATTTGGGATCTTTTGTAGTTCAGTATAAATTTGAGGATTATTTTTTCCTGTGAAAAATGCCACCAGTGTTTTGATAAGGATTGCATTGAATCTGTAGATTGCTTTGGGTAGTATGGACATTTTTACAGTGTTAATTCTTTCTACCCATGAGCATGGTATATAAGCTTCCATTTACTTGTATTTCCAATTTCTTTCTTCAATGTGTTATGCTTTTTGAGGACAGGTCTTTTACTTCCTTGGTTAAATTATTCCTAAGTATTTTTATTCTTTCTGATGCAAATGTAAATGGGACTTCCTTAATTTTTCTTTCTGATAGTTTGTTATTGGAGCACAAAAATGTAACTGATTTCTGAACATTAATTTGATACTGTGCTAGCTATAATGGTTTTCTTAGGGTTCTATGTAGTGTCACATCCTCTCCAAATAATGACAATTTTACTTCTTATCCAATTTGGATACCTTTTATTTCTTTTTGATTTGCTGTGGCGATGACTTCCAATACTATGATGAATTAAAGTGGTGAAAGTGGACATTCTTGTCTTATTCTTGATCTTAAAGAAGCAGCTTTCAGGTTTGTCATACTAGTATATGACCTTTATTGTGTTAAGGTACATATTCCCTCTATCCCCACTTCGCTTTTTTAGAATCCACTGATATAATTTTTATCCTTCATTTTGTTTATATGGTGTATCACATTAATATATTTGTGGATATTAAACCAATCTTACATCCCAGGGATAAAAACCACTTGATTATAGCGTCTCATCTTTTTATTGTGTTACTGAATTTGGTTTGCTTATATTTGGTTGAGAATTTTTGCATCTGTGTTCATCAGGGAAATTGGCCTAGGTTTTGGAATTAGGGCAATGACAGCCTTGTAAAATGAGTATGGTAGTCTTTTCTCCTCTTCAATTTTTTGAAGTAGTTTGAGAAGAATAGATACTAATTCTTTAAAAAGCTTGGTAAAATTAGCCTGTGAAACTATCTGGTATAGGATTTTAGTTTGTTGGGAGTTTTTTAATTTTTATTTTTATTACTGATGAATTTAGTTAGTAATTGGTCTGTTCCAATTTTATGTTCTTGATTTGGTGTTAGAAGAGTTTGTTTCTGGAAATTTATCCATTTCTTCAGCATATAATTGTTTGGGAATCTCTGTGCTTTCTGGACTTATATGTCCATTTTCCTCACCAAGTTAGGGATGTTTTCAATCCCTTGCTCTATCTCATCTCCTTTTGGTACCCCATATGATGCAAATGTTGGTATGCTTGATGTCCCAGAGGCCCCTTAAACTATCCTCATTTTTTAAAAGCCTCTTTTTCTTTCTGCTTTTCTGACTGGGTGTTTTATGCTACCTTGTCTTCCAAGTTACTGATTTGATTCTCTGCTTCATCTAATCAGTTGATTCCCTCTGATGTATTCTTCATTTCAGAAAGGTTCTTTTTGTGGTTTCAATTTCTTTGTGTAACTTCTTACTGAATTCATCCCCTAAATTCATTGAGCATCCTTATAACTAGTGTTTTGTACTCTGTTTCTGGTAGATTGCTTCTATTTTGTTTAGTTATTTTTCTGGAGTTATATCCCGTTTTGCATTTGGGAATGTTTCTCTGTTTCCTCATTTTGGCTGCCTCCACATGTTTATTTCTACATATTATGTAGATCTGCTACTTCTCCCAGTCCTGGCAGGATGGCCTTATGTAGTAGGTGTTCTGTGAGGCACAGTCTCCTGCTTACCTGAGCCTGGTTCCCTTTGTTTAAGTTTTGTGTATAGTTGAGCCTTGATTGCTGCTGTTGGCACATCAGTGGGTGGGATGGGCCCTCAGGCTGAATGTCTGTGAGGATTGGCCATGATTACACTGACAAATTGTTGTGCGGGGGCTGATCCTATGGAGAGGGAGTTGCTTTAGTGGGCTCTGGTGCCCTCTCTGTCTGCCCTTTGGAAATGTCTTGAGGAGCTGGTTGGGTGTTGCTCTAGTGTGATCTGAGGCTGGCCACTGGTTATATTGGTTCTGGGGCCTCTTGGGTGAGGCTTTGGTATATAGACCAACTTCAGTCACTGCCTATGCCTGGCCTGGGGCCACCTGGTAGGAACTACAAAGTGATCTGTAAGTGGTTACTGCCTGTGCTGGGCTTGGAGGTGCTTGGGGCTGCTTAGCCAGAGGAAGAGGGCAAGTCGTGGCTAGCTGCTGCTTCTTTGTGATTTATGAACCTTTGAAATTTTTTTAGGAAAGTCTTCAGTGCAATCCAGGCAGACTGCTTTATAGAAAAGCTGCTGAAAGAGGTTCCATCTGGGTGTGTAAGTTGAATGGGGTTTCATGGAATCACCAGGGTAGGACAAACTGTTATCTAGGTTAATGGAGAGTTCAGATTTGGCGCCCTCTTGAGCCTAGGTTGGGCGGGGGGTGCTCAACAGCATCTGCCAGCACTTCCATCCCTGGATAGGGCTACCTCTGCAGTGGAGCTCAATGCAAGTGTTTGTGAGCTACTAAGTTTGTGCTTAGGCCCTTTGAGATCTGTAGCACCTAGGTTTCTAGCAGCCCGTTGTCTTTCTTGGATACAATCCCTACTGGTTTTCACAGCCAGATGTCATGGGAACTTCTCTTCCTGGCACTCCTCGCTCCTCAGGGTGGAACTCTGAAGCCAAGATATACATCCTGGTTCATAGCAGCCATGCTGAGTGTGGGACCTGCCCATTCTGTCTCTCTACCTCTCCTATCAGTCTTGACGTGGCTTCTTCTTTATATACTGTTACTAGAGGCCCGTTGCAGGAAGATTCCTGCAAGAATAGGGCTTCCTGTGGCCCGAGAGAAGGGAACGAAGCCCGCCCTTCTCCACTGCCTCGCTCCCTCCTGTCTCTGCTGCCTCGGGACACTCCATCGGCGGTGGAGCGGCGAGGCTGGATCAGCCGCCGGAGTGGGCGGATCGTGCCTTGCCACTTGGCCCCTGGCTGGGGGACAGGCCTGAACACCCCATTGGCTGCCGGGTGGGCAGATTGTGCCTCACCGCTTGCCCCCGCCACCTGCCTGGCCAGGTGACAGGCCTGGACACTTCAGCGGTGGGGCTGAGGGGACTGGGTACCGCCATCTTTGTGACGGAGTGACAGCTAATTTGCATATTACTCTTTTATTAGATAGGCTAGCAATTCAGTTTAGCTAATCTCCAAGTGGTTCTCAGTGATGGTTGTTCTATAATTTAGTTGTAATTTTGATGTGGTTGTGGGTGGAGGCGAGCACAGTGTTTACTCTGCCATCTTAATACTCTTTCTTTGACCTGAAAATGGACTCATTACAAATTATTGTTCCTTTTCCACTACTGCCCACAATCCTGACACACCAAAGTGCCACTTGGCATAACTTATCCCATGCTTATCATGGTTTATGAAAGTAGTTAAAGCATCACAAACCTTGAAGTGACTGGTACCAAGTGCTATGAGTGAAAATTTCAAGCCACAGTAGATGTCAATCACTTTAAAAATCTTCCTCCGTTTTCAAGTTAAAAACTTACGAAAATTCAGGTCATATTCAGATATAAGGGAACCCTCTCTTAAGAGCACTTGCCGGTAATTAAAAAGTGATACTTACATGGTCCTGGGGATGCCATCCCCCAATCCTCTCACCCCAGAGTTGTGTGTTGAGAATCACTCTGGTCAAAAAAACTTGGACACAGAGTCTGAGTGGGTCTGGCCTGTCCCTGCCAGACCCGTCATACATCAGAAAAACTATAAAAATGTAGTCACCTATGATGCTCCATGGAAACGAGACCATAAATGATGTTCTGTCAGTGCCATTGCATGCCCAGTTCTTTGTGAAGTCTTTTTGAGATTCCTAATAGTTGTGGAATAACCATACGAGGTCAGCAATATATCCTCATTTTTTACAGATGAGGGAATTGAGGCCCATACAAATTCACAACCTGCCCAAGGTATGGATCCCAAATACGAACAACAGCATTCTGACTCCTGAGTCCACAGCACTATTCTGCCCCTTGTCAATTTCTAAAAGAGAGCCATTCAAAGGAAGACAGAGAATCAACCCAGGGGAATGATCTTGCCAGGTCAGACTGTTCCAAGTGCATACTTGTTTTATTTCTCTATTTCCATAACAATACAAAGATGCTTAGAACAATAATGGTTCAAAATAATTTCTGCATCATTGATATGTATTGTCTGCATAAAATTTAGGCACAAATTTTATGGACCCCCCATTAAGAACTAGAGTTCACAAAATGTTGGAGTTAGAATAATTTAAAGTTATTCATTTTCTAGATAGGGTGGCATTTGCTGAACTGTCAGGGGTTCCCAAACATGGCTATACATTAGAAACAACTGAGAAACTTCTAAAAATATTCATGCTCAAAACCAGCGCTCTATCAGGCACGGCCTGTCTAATGCAACCCCAAGACCAATTCATTCTGAATCTTTGGGGAAGGTATTGGGGTCCTGGAATTTTGGTTGAAAACTACTGGTGCAAAGAAAGAAAAATGGACCAAAATTACCTGGTTCTGTCATTAATTCTTATCCCCAGACTTAATGAACAATTCAGATACCATTTGGTTGTTATTTACATATCAAAATTATAAACAATCCAAATAACAGAGTGGCAATACACTTTGGCATCTCCACATGAACTTATGCTGTTATTAATAATGAAGTTTCATAAAACATAGGATTATGTTGATGTCTAATGCTTAATGTAAAAAGCAGGGTACAAAATTCCATATATATATGGCAAAAGATGAGAAGAAATACATGAAAACTAACTGGAAAGGCTACATATTGTATGATTCCAACTATATGACGTTCTGAAAATGGCAACTCTATAGAGGAGTAAACAAATTAGTGGTGCCCTAGCCAGTTTGGCTCAGTGGATAGAATGTCGGCCTGCAGACCAAAGGGTCCCGGGTTCAATTCCGGTCAAGGGCATGTACCTTGGTTGTAGGCTCTCCCCAGCCTGGGCCTTGGTCAGGGCGCATGCAGGAGGTAACCAATTGATGTGTTTCTCTCACATCAATGTTTCTGTCTGTCTTTCCCTCTCTCTTCCACTCTCTAATCAATGGAAAAATATCCTCAGGTGCGGATTAGAAACCAACAACAAAATATTAGTGGTTTCCAGGGGTAAGGGGAGAAGGAAGAATAGGCGGAGTATAGATTTTTAGGGCAGTGAAACTGTCCTGTATGATACTAAATGGTAGCTAAACATCAATATACATTTGTCCAAATCCATAGAACATACAACGCCAAGAGTGAACCCTAATGTAAACTTTGGGTGATAATGTTGTCAATGTAGGTTCATCAGCTGTAACAAATGCACCACTCTGGTGTGGGATATTGGTAATGGAGGAGGCTCTGTTTGTGCTTGAGGTTCAGGGGACACATGGGAACTTTCTGCTCAATGTTGCTATGCATCCAAAACTCCAAAGTTTTAAAAAGTAAAGTTTATTAATTAGAACAAGTTAACTGATGATTCTTAGCCAGTGGGACTGTAGGTGATTTATTCCTTCTTGCAATTAAAAATATCACCCAAACCAAAAACAAAACCAGCTGAAGGCGTAAGTTCAAGATGAATGAATGCCAGCGCTCTATCAGGCCCAGCCTGTCTAATGCATGCCTGAGAGTTTCTTTAAGGAAATATATTGTTAGGCCTTAAAGTAGAAAGATCACATTTTTTTTCCAAAGATGAAAATGAGCAATTGTACTCACCGTCTTTGCAGATGGTTCCCATCTGACACATTCCTAAGTCTAGGAGATACCCACTTGGGCAGCTCGTACAGTTCTTGAACCCTGGACCATTGCACGTCAAACAGCTGGTGTCACATCTATGGGGCAAATGTAGAATTTATCATCCTTTCACACATCAGACACAGGAAAAGATGTGTTTACTACTATCCACCTCTTATTGCCTTAAACTTAATCTCTCTTTGAAGATGACACAAAAATATTTTCTTAAAATAATCTTAAAAAATAAGGTTTGGCAACATTAAAGAAAACCTTAGCAGGTAGACAGTGTGATTTTAAAGTACTCCTGAGGCAATTTATATATATAAATAAAAGATAAACTGGCTTAAAGCTGCAGGGCAGTTTCTATAGGTAAATGTTCAAACCTAATTTTATTAATAATTCTAAGTTTCATATTATTTACAAAGGCAGTCACATAAGGAACCTGGTAACCAAATGCCAGGGCTTGAGGGGCAGATCCACTTACTTTTTGCAGGATTTGTATCCATTCTCCGAAGAGTGGTCAAAGTAATAGCTGATACTACAGCTCTGCACACATCTCCCATCCTCCATGAAGTAGCCCTCCGTGCAGTTAATGCACCCATCAGCACCCGCCCCTTCAAAGCAAGACAAACACAGGGAACAGAAAACCTCAGAAGCAGTTGCATGATGGGCTGCTTCTTCCACAGTTTGTGAAAATGCCATTAATATAATTTTAAGAGTTATAATTTAATACTTTGCTTTTTCTTACAGTCTTTGGAAAAATCACACCCCTGTTTTCCAAAAGCATCAAATCTTTGGAAAGAGAAGGAGATATCACTGGGGTATTCAGGTTTCTCAATGAGGATAGGATGCTGAGGCCTGACTTTCGATGAGAATACATGCATGATTACTGGAAGAGATATTTTCAGAATAACAGCTGGAGAAGTATATATCAAGTGGGTCTGCATGAGTGACAGCTAAAAACAGACAAACAAAAGCCAAACCAGAGCCAGAGGAATAAACACAAGGACTGGGGGAGAAGGTACCAGCACAGGTGGCGCAGAAGCGGTGACAGGGCTGACAGTCCTGGCCGTTGAAGTACTGTCCATTCTCACAGGCGATGGAACACCGGGATCCCTGCAGGCTGAGGACATAGAGTGCTGTGATCAAGGCAATGAGGTAATGACTCCAAATTCTATATGTAACAAACACAGTTCCCACCATCACCACAAACCCCCCCCCCCCGAGACCTGTGGATTTGGCAAAGCTTCAAAGCAGGGAACTAGCCCTTGTGCCTTCCATTTTTCCCTCTCTGTGCCTTATTATAATGATGTCTGTATCATATGCATGTGCTGCAGGCTTTGGGGACAGTCCTCTGAGCTGTTAGACTGGCTGACACATCTTACAACCCAGAGGTTTTAAAAAGTATTTTATGGACAAAACAATCGCATTACCTAATAATGTGCCTAACTATTTCCTGATATCCAGACCTACTACATAATATATTTAAAAGTTGTTTTGTAATTATAAATGCAGTAGGAACACACAGTAAATGAATTATAATTGAATTAGAGGGCACAACCATTCCTACCTAAACTCCCAGGAGTAGATTTTTTTATTTTTAAGTTTTTCTGATTTTAGTTCTTACTGGTTCCCACAACAGAATTTTAATACACTTTGCCTCTATTTCTTGATTTAAACTCTAATGAATAATTTAGCTCAATTACCTACCTATACTGCTGCTTCCCCAAACATCTGAACTTTTCTTAGTTATATTACTAAATTATATTACTAGTTAGTTTTTCTAGAGATAATCTGTTCCACCTTTTTTCCACCTAGCACACTTAGTGTCGAATGAATTGCTAGAATATTGAATAAGGACTCTATATTTTTTCACTCTCCTAAATTCTGTCAGCTATGGTCTTTCTCATAGTCTACAGATGGATTCTGAAAATTCAAAATAAATTAATAGAATTTTCACTATCCAATATACAGATATTACTCATAATAACTAAAGTGTGACTGGAACCAGGGAGAAGATGTAATCCTATGTCACCAAATAGAGGATACTGAAGAAGTGTATCTAAGCAACAGGGTTAAATAGGTTCTCTTTTCTTAAACTCTTCACACATTGCTCCAATTCACATCTTATTTGACTTTGCTGTATGTATATGTATTATACTAATTTTACAAAGTAAAATTTATTTCCATCAATAAATCTGGAAAAAACCAAAGTAGATGAAAAAGAATCCCAAACAGTCCTGTTAACATTTTAATCTATTCCCTTCCGTATTTTATGCAGAGATATTTTTCCATGTTTGTTCTTAGCCACTCTGTAAAAATTTACAGGTCTTGAGCAAAATGGTCAACTCAGAAGCCCCTAAGGAAAATACAGAGAGCCTCAATGAGAGCAGCAAACTGAAAGTGTTCTCCATTCACAGATATCCTCATTGGCCAGAGAGCTGTCATTTAAAAAGAATATTCCTTCTGCCCTGGCCAGGTGGCTCAGTTGGTTGGAGCATCATCCTGTATACCCAAAGGTTGGTTGTGGATTTGATTCCAGGTTGGAGCTTGTATAGGAGGCAACCGATTAATGTTTCTCTCTAAAATCATTTTAAAAAAATCCTAGGTGAGGATTTAAAAAATGTTTAAAAGAATATTCCTCCCCTTTCTGTAGAGCTGGAAAAAAGAACAATGCATCAAATGGATCTTTTTGTGGGAGGAAGTAGTACCACCAAAAATTGTATCCAAGTTTTAAAAGCTGCCTAGTTTTTCTAATAAAGGACATTACTTCTGAGGTTGGCATTCATCCAGCTGGAGACAGAGGCAGCACTGTGTGAGAAGGGAATGAACTAAGTGGGAGGTGCAGCAGAGGGCATCACTGTGAACCCTGAAGCTTTCTGCTGCTTCCAGCCTCAGGGATGGCCTGGTTAATGGAGCTGGTCCTGCACACCTGAGTTCTGTCCGTGATGAACCAGCGAGGTTAGACCTGTGCTGTTCCCCCCTGCTCAAGCACTGGAGCTCCTAGTGTGGCTAAGGAATGGAATTCTAAATTTTACAAATTGGCACTTAGTTCAGTTATTGGCAAAATTTTGAGTATGTTTGGAATGGAACAACTCAGCTACCTCAACTAAATTTTATAAAATCTAAATACAGATAAAAAAAATGATTGTTTGAATTGAGATGTGGTTTAGGGGTAAAATACATACCATATTTCTAAGGCTTGGTACAACAACAAAAGTAAAATATCTTTACTAAAAGTCTTCTATACTGATTACATATTAAATGATTTTATAAAAATATTTAATTTCATTTTATGTGGCTACAGGCACATTTAAAATTAACATGTGGCTCTCATTTCTATTGGAGAGCACTGGTTAGCTTATGTTTCTTAATCTTAAAAAAATCTTTTGTTTCTCATGGACCAATTATGTGTCAGTTACTGGACTAAGTGCTTTGTAAATGTCATCATAGTTAATCCTTATCATAAGCCAGAACACAGGGGTTATCACCATTTTATAGATGAGAAAATTGAAGCTCAGAGTGGCTAAGTGACTCAGCCAAGGTCACACAGCCGATAAACAGCAGGGGTGGGTGAGTCCTCATCTGTCTTCCTTCTTTTTCTTATTATACCAATCTGCCCCTTCTCCAAAAGGAATTAGGCTGACTAGACTGATATTTGTCAAGACTGTCATGAGATGAAAGGTGCTAAACAAACTAACACTGAATGTATTTATGAAAAGTAAAAATGCTGTTGCAATATTACTAATGTGAAGCACTACCTGCCTTACCCTGCTTATTTCACCTCTAATCAAAGGTGGAAGTAGAAATACCATCAACATTTAAAAAGGGATCGAGTGCAGCAGAATTCTAGCGCTGTGCAAACCCGGAGTCCAGCTCCTCACTCGACATAGGATGGTTTGACCCTAGAGACGACCTAATTCATTTGAGCTGCATGATGTTCTCCTACAGAATCTATCAACTACAGTAAGTCCTCTCTTAATGTTGTCAAAAGGTTCTGTGACTTTAATCAAAACAATGTATATAACGAAATCAATTTTACTATAGGCTAATTGATATAAGCCAGAGCTATCCCAGGACCTGCTGTAACAGGCTTTAGCCATGAGCAAGTCATCCATTCAAGGAAAATATCTCCAGGTGTTAAATCTGTATGCAGACGATGGCATAATGGAACCAAGCCTGAGGTTCTTAAGATAAGAGAATGACTGGCTATATGGCGAGAAATAATAAAGGAATGAATCAGGAGGTTTAAATGTAACTCAGTATTACCTAAATAGTAATCCTTGACTGGTGCACTGCCAGTTTAAAAGTACAAAGAAAGCCTCTGAAATGGTCATTTTATTTACTTGTATCAGAGCCATCTTTTCTAAAGAGAATTTTATTTCATGTATAAACCTTCCTTAGCCAAGATGGCATCCAATTTTTCACATATAATGGTAGAGATAATGCAAATGGGAGTCAACTCAAGGGTGATGGCAAAGGGTTATTTATACTGAGACGCTCCCTGGGCTGCGTTACTTATACAGACCTTCACCTTCTTACCTTAATCCATCCCTACATTCTGTACAATTGTGGGAGTCAGTACACGTCTTGCAGCTTTCACTGCATTTCCGGCAAATATTTTTCTCTGTTAAAAAACAACAAAAAGGTTATAAATTAGTTGGTCAATTGGATTCCATAGAAGCATGTGGAGATGTTCCAATGTATGCTGCAGTACACATGGACTTGAGCAGAAAATTGTAGGAAAAGCCCTCAGTCAACATTTGCTATCACTTTTTAGCAAAGCAAATTAGGGTAGGAATTGTAGCACTGACAAATACCTTAGAGTTAGCTACCATTTTGCAGATAAGAGAACTACAGCCCATTTAATTCTTAGTTGCATAGTTCATTAGCCTTTCCCCTCCTCTTCCCATTTTCTCTCCCAAGCAGGGTTTCCTACTTTCCAACAATGAAAAAAATCCCACTAATGAAGCTGGGCAACACGACCATGTCAAGGTTGAAAAGCAATGCCTCTGGCCGGGGAAAGGAATGGTAGACTCCCATCTTTTAGGACTAGTCTGGTGAACTCTACTACACCACGGTGTGATACCCTTAAGACAAATTATGGAGAACTCAGAAATAAGGCAAAAGATACCTGCAGCCCTTTTCAGGGCCACGACAGAGCACTAAGAGGTAGGTATGCCCAAGGATCATTTAATTCTCTAGAGAATGTAGTTTTGTCTGTTTACTAATGATGGTTAATTAGTCCCCAAATTCTGTGAAATACATGCTAATTGACAGATTTTTTTGTTTGGTAAACTTGCAAATGATATGTCCATTTGAAATAAAGAACCCCAACATTCTAGCTGTATTGATGGCCATGTCGGAAATCATTCATTTGTCTCTAACTCAGCAAACGGGTTTTATTTTGCCTTTCCTAGTGGCCTATAATCCCTGCAGTCTCTGAACCCATTTGTTTCCCTGCAGGTTCACTCATTAATCGGTTAAGTAAGTCCTTCGCATGTGTTCATTCTTCACTTACATGAAGGTCATGTTTTTTAAAGTTTGAAAAGTATTCTTTGGTATCACACCACCCTGTTTCTTTGGTTAGTGTGCAGAAAAGAGCAGGCCTGGTCACTGTCTTCTGAAAGCCTACTCAGAAGGTTGCGAACTTGGATTTCAGGAGGGTTTCCACCACCCTAACAGATGAGAGTGAGTCAAGATGCCTGAACTGTTTGTATAAACAGTATGGTCCACACTGAACCCCTTTTTTCCTTATAGGAGTCTGGGGATTTTGGTAAGGGCCGGGCAGAGGTGCCTTCATGACCACACTCCAGTAACAACCACAGCACGGAGTCCCAAGGAGGTTCCCTTGTGGAGTACATTTCACTCATGTTGTCCATGGGGAAACGAAATGTATCCTGTGTGGCTCCACTAGGAGAAAACTCTTAGAACTTTTTGGGCCTGGTTTCCAATGGACTTTGAACCTTTTCCCTCTGCTGATTTACTTGTATTTTTTTGCTGTAATTAATCATAACTGAGCACATAAGCACAACTATATGATGAGTCTTGTGGGGATGCCTAAGTCACTGAATCTGGGTGTGGGCTTGAGGACCCCCTAACACAGTTAGTTACAGGCCTTTTAATAAAACAATTCTAAATTGTTCTCTTTAAAAATTTGATTAGATCCTGCTTGATATTAAGCAAGGCCTAGATTTGACAGGGAGGAATATTCCTCCCAAGGTCACTCAAATGAAAACCTCTCATTTGTTCTCTAAAACCAGCTATTTGAAATGAACTCACTGGTGTCCTGGTATGATCCATCAGGGCAGTGAGGGACACAGCTGTTGGTCTCTTCGTTCAGGAAGTAGCCATGTTTGCAGGACAGGCACTGGTCGCCGTGGCTGCCAAAGCAGGACTCACAGTTGGGAGGACACTTCCTGCACCGTTTCTTGTCGGCGTGGTAGTGGCCCGCGGGGCAGCTGGAGACACAGACCCTGCGTGGGAAACGATGAGAAAGAGGGGTGGCATCACCAGTGACTGGGTTCTCGGTCTCAAAACCCTTTTAAAACCATGATGGCGAGTAATGCCATGGCCAAAGGGCCCAGTTCTGTGGGTTACAGTGTCTTCCTGTGTAGGGTGCTGATGCAGCAATGCAGTCACACAATACCAAGTCCAGGTAAGGTGTTCTAGCTCTTTAACGGGGATGATGGTTACAAATTGAGTCTCAAAAGGAAGGTTATGGCATTGAGTTGAAGGGGAAAATATGTGGGAAGCATGATTTTGTGCATAAAGGTCACTTATAAGGGGTTACTTTTGGTGTGTTTGTCACATGGATTGTGTGTGGGTGGTGGTGGTTATATGCTATTGTCTTAATATAAATATATTTAAATTTATGTTGCTTATGATAAACAAGGAACTTATTTTTTTTAAGTTTGATTGAAGGACAAGGCTTTATTTATTCATTCAACAAATATTTACCAAGTACCAATTGAATGGCAGGCATTTTGCTAACAAGTCTAGGAGATAACAGAGGTGCTGAGTAGCCCAGGGCCTTTCCTTTGAGGAATTTAAATTCCAGCAAGAACGGAAACAGGAACTGGAACATGCCTGTGTCTGTTGGGGTGACGGGAGTGTGGAGTCGCCACAAGTCAGCTCCCTGGAGGGACAGGTGGCAGGGATGTGAGTCATGGCCTCTGTTGGGACAACCACTGTTCCATGGCCCTGCCCTTAGACACAGATCTGCAGAGCTGGAGGCAGAATCCAGGGGCCCAGGGTCAAAGCAGAGCAGAAGAGTGAGGAGCGGGGACCAGCACCTTTGCCACGCAGAGGATTTGCTCATGTGGGAAAGCACCCGTTTGGCCGATGCACTGGCATTTTCATGAAGGGAAAATGCTAGAACACTGTCTCGTACTCACTTTATGGTGGCAGTGGAACTGACATATCATTCCATTTCAAATAATATCTGTATTCTGGAGAATAGCAAACATTATTTGATTGAACAAAAATACTGTGAATACTGGCTTTCCTGTTTAATATCAAGCACAGGTCCCAATTAGGGAAAAAAAATGGCCAATGCATGATTGCTCTATAATGAAACATGGTGAACTGTTATAATAAAGTAAGGCCTTTTACTTAGGTGAAACTTTTCTGGAGACTTGATACCTCCTCTGAGATGCAAGTAGATTCTAACCACATGTATATGTCAAATTGAATGAAGCCTCTCTTCCTCCATCTAGAAATGTTGGTGTTCTTCAGGGTTCCGCAGAGAATCACTGTTCATCTTTCTGGTGGTTCGGGGTATCTATAGAGTTCTCCCTCAACACTCCATTTCAAATGAATCAATTCTTTTTTCTCTGCACTTTATAACTCGATATCAGTTTCACCATTTTGAATTACACAAAGAGGTATCAGGCTTGTACAGCGGCACATTTTCTGTGCTTTTACATCCTAATGGGGAACCCATAATGCCTGGCCCAAAGTGACCCTGTGGGAACTCCCTGGGTATGCTGAGGGCTCGTGACTTGGCTTTTCTCTTACCTGGTGTTGTTTTTCAGCTTGTAGTAGTAGTGCAAACAGTCATTGCAGTGGTCTGGTCCTGGCCCATCGCAGCCGACCTCACTGCACTCAGGGTCGCAGGGACCTTTCCAGAAGAAATTAGAACAACATTTAGAAAAAAAAATGATTTTAAGTAGGTTGGCTTTACCTTGAATTTGGTATAAAATATTTTTTTCTTACGCAGTGAAAGTTTAAGGAGGAATAATGTTCAAAGTGACTGTAAGCTCAGAGAGTTTTGGGGGGAAAACCTCAAGTATCAAGAATGTAAATCCTAATCATGGCCTGGTCTTCAAAGCACGTATGGCTGCCTTGTGGGAGCTAACAAGTATTTCAGGATTCAAATGAACAATGCCACTGTAGTAAATGGAAAAAAACCAGATCACAATTAAACATGCAAACGATAAAAAATGTTGGACTTACAGAAAAAGAAAAAAAGTGATTATTCAATGCTTGGACCAGATTGCCTGTCTTTTCCAAGCATTAAAGCCACAGAATACCTCTGAGATACCGTAGCTAGCAAGGAACAGCATTATGGCACCTGGCACAAGCTTATCGGTTTCTAATCCTGGATTACAAAGCGGGTACTTTAGGCACGGGTAATAGATTTAAAATTGCATCCTACTCACAGGCCAATGGGCAACTCAACAAAAGAAAAGTACATATTACTTTTAAAAATGCGATGAAGGTTCCCAATCTCTCTTCTTATGTATTCTTCAGTATAGAACTATTAAGAATACAGTCAGAAAAAAAAAAATCCAGAAAGATGGAACTATTTGGTGATTGGTGAAAAAAGCGTTCTAATGATGAGGGACAGTTATAGACATTTTGCTCTACTGAACTAACTCCATTTTTCCTTGTTCTCTATATTTTGGGACATTTGGTCTCATAATCTTTAAGCTCTTTCCCATTGAAAATTCTTATGATTTTAACTAGCAGTAAACATAATGCTTGAAATGTACAAACTATATGTCAGTGGTGCCAGAAATGTTTTAAACCAAACTTCATTTTAATCAAAAGGACTTATTGGTTGAAATGTGGCCTCCTTTAATCATTATGAGACTATGATTACAATTACAATTACTGCATCATGGGAACGTGAAATGGTAGAACTGGGGAAGAATGACTCAGAAAAATCTAGTAGTCAACACCCTTGTTTTACCGGTGAGAAAACAGATTTTCCAAGAGTTACAATGGCTTGCCCGACAGCAGACAGCTGGAAGAGTTGGGATCAACATACGTCCTGATTTTTTATACATGTCTCCTACTTAGAGTAAGTCATCTACTAGAGATGAATGGAAATGAGTCATTGTTAAATACATTTCTGATAAAAAATGCTGTCAAATGACTCTTGTGGTTAATCTCTATTTTCCTAAAAGCCTTAAAATTGACCTCTTAGTTAAATTCTATAGCCAGTCCAACTTGGGACAGGTTAGCTGTCTGCTTTGGTACACAAGAAGAGGGTGTCTCCGCCATGGAAGGGTTCACATTCAGCCAGCTCTGGGTTCCACGCTCCTTGAAATTCAATGTACAGTACAGGGATCTGGCTGTGTTAATGCCATCTGTGTCTCTAGCCAGCCTGACTTCTTTAGAAAGGTAAAAATCCCAGCTCCAAAGAAAAGGAGTCACATGTGGCCCTAAATATTCACCAGATGATTTTTATAATTACCCCCCCCCCCCCCAAAAAAAACACCCCCCACAACCACAACTCATTTATTCTTGATATGTGCCAAAGGGCCCTGCATGGTAAGTTCACATGCTGTGCTGATTCTTTTATAATTTAAAACTGTCCCAGATGCAAATTAGCATTTTAGGTTGCAGGGTGATAATGAAATAATTGTTTTTGTTCTCTCACAAGTGCTAGCATGGACATTTTGAGGAGGTAATGAGAAAAACCACAACAGTGTATGTATAACTGTTCAGAATTTTAACATTTCCAAAATTTGAATTAGAAACATCCCATAAGGCACATAGCAATAGGTTACTATTATGCTCCATTTATGGTTTTGGATAGACTTTCTCCTATCAGAGAACAAAATGGTTTACTAGCCACAATATGCATAGCAATGTTACAAGCTCTAAGCAAAATAAGACGAAATCTAGCTCTGGTTTGTTGAATTGGACTGAATTATCCAAGCTTAATATTGACTCTGGGATATTACCTGTTTAGAATAGAAGGAAATACATACATTTAAGATATCCTTTTAAGGTGATTAATATCTAAAAAAAGAACTTCAGAGAGTTGCAGGAAAAATATATTTCTCCTGTAAAGGTACACTAAACTGCTGTTTACCAACAGTCTTTCATTAGAAGAAGCTCTGCACATTGTGTTATATATTATAGCCCAGAAAAATGGAACATGTCTGGAAAGGTCAGCCAGTGCAACAAGACAGGAATCAGAAATACATTGGGAAGGAGAAAAAAATGCAGATGATACGGCCATAGTACCTAAATTGCCCCAGAAAAATCAACTCTAAAACATATAAATTTATAAGAGAAATTAGTAAGAGAGTTAAGCAAAAATGGTCAGATATATGATAAATATGCAACAGCCAGATTTCCTATAGTACATAGAAAATATGGAATATTTTCCACTAAAATAGCAATAAGAAAAACACTATATAAAATTAAAAGATTTCTTTTTAAAACACAACACAGACACTAAATTTCAGAAGTGATAATTGAGAAAATGTTTTCAGCAAATATGAGACAGTATGAGAGGCAATAACGTACAAAGAATTCTTATAAATAGATAAGAAAATTGCTGCCACTTTGAATATAATGGGTAAAAGACAGTTGTATTTAATTCCGAGAACTACAGTTAAATCCTCACTTAATGTTGATAGATTCTTGGAACTGCAGCAAAATGACATGTAAGGAAGCCAATTTTACCACAGGCTAGGTTATATGTAAGAGTTAAGTTCCTACAGCAGCTCATCAATGTTATGTAATGAATGAAACGATGTTATCTGAGGACCTGTACAGACAAAAAATGTTTAGATATACTAGCAGTCAAAGTTATAAAAATTGTATTCTTTTTTTCTATCCACTCAATTTTCCCAGGATGAGTGCAATAAACACTCTCACATCTGGTCATAGTGCAGACTGGTACATCTTTATCTAGAAGGCAATGTGACAAAACGTATCGAAGCCCTAAAACTGGTTAATCCCTTTGATTCAGCAAGATGCAGTCATTCTCGGAATAGAACTATATTATAAAAAACCAATTAAAGATATCAACCAAACTGATAAATGATGATATTCATCCAAACCTTTTTTAAACTTGTGTAAAACTCTAAGCAAACTACATATACCAGATTACGGATTAAATACATTACAGTCATAGGATGGACAATTATGCTGTCCTTTAAATATGTGTCCTAAGCATATTTAACTATTTTAAGGGGAAAAAAGGATATGGAAACTCTCTATATAGTGTGGTTTAGCTTTGAAGAAAAACATGGATATTTGAATATGAGTATATATATATATATACACAAATATTTGGGGGGATAGAAATGATGAAGAAAATACATCAGAATGTGGTAGAAGTTTATCTCAGCATGGTGGGATGATATATGAGAGATCCCTCCTTAGCCTTTGTTCCTGGTGGAAGCCAGCTCACCTGCATAATCCTCTGTACCATAGTCATCGGTGGGGTCTTCGACTCGGCTGTAGCGGACACGTTCCACTTTAGGAAACTCGTTGGTTGGTGAGTATGGCTGCACGGAGGTGCCATAGAGTACCAAAGACCATTCTTTCAATTTACCTAGGGAAACAATAATGAAACCACTGCATGACCAAATATTCACTCTTTAGCTTTGTACTTTATTTCCTTTTCACCTAAGAGAAAGCATCAGTAGAATTACGGGAGACAGATTCATATGAATTATTACTTCATATACAGGGCTAGAAATACATTTACTACTGTTTGCAGAATTTATGCACTATAATTCACGCACTATGTATTTACAGAACAAACAATGAACGATATTGACAAAGACTGATAAATGATGATATTCAGGATAGGCCTTGATTTAATCAGCATTTATAGTTAGACTAAGAGACAAACACCTCAGATTGCTGGGCTGAATTTCAAATGATGGATATTTAAAAGAATCCCAGAATTTTACAGAGAGCTTTGTTTTTCTAGGTATAAAAGTCTTATTTGAAAAAAAATTTCAGGCCCTGGTTGGTGTGCTTCTGTTGGTTGGAATTCGTCCCATGCATGGAGAGGTCAGGGGTTCAATTCCCCGTTAGGGCACATGCCTGGGTTTCAGGCTCAATCCCAGTAGGGGGCATGCAGGAGGCAGCTGATAGATCAATGTTTCTCTCTCTCAAATCAATAAAAACATATTAAAAACATTTTTTGTGTTATCTGACTTATAAATAAGATGACAAAAACAATGACTTTGTTCCACATGATTCCTGAAGCAGTCATTCAATCTTTAGAATACATCACTATTTAATTATCCTATAGACCCGATAGCCACTAGATACATGTGGCTATTTAAATGAATTAAAATAAATAAATTCAGTTCCTTAGTCACACTAACTACATTTCAAGTGCTCAATAGCCACACGTCGCCAGTGGCCACTACAATGCAAACACAGATGGAGAATACTTCCTACATTGCAGAATGTTCTACTGAGCAGTTGCAATACATTTTCTGGTCAAGGGTGCCTTAAGACATGAGATCAGTGTTTAACCTCATCTGGATAGTATGCTCATGAGGGACATTTCTTTTAGTTTAATCCCTATTCATTTATTTCTTAGATTTATAAAATTAAAGTCTTTACTGCAAAAAAAAAAAAAAAGCCCCCAAACTGCCTCCGGGCCATTAAACTTAATAAGATTCACATAAGAAAGAATCAACCATAAGCAGAAGTGATTAATAAAAAAACATTAAAAACACAGAAATATGCTGATAGAAAGGACTACCCTTAGGAACCTCCCCACACAGTGGCCTAATACACAGTCCAGGCATGGTTCAGAGCTCTCCCACAGCAAGACAATGGTGAACTTCAGGTGTCATCTAATTCATCTATTAGCATCTATATCATCATCTAATTGATGCTTATCATTCCTAAGTGCTTGCTACATGCTAAGTTTTATCCCATTGTTCATAACAACTGGGATGTAGCTGCTTGAATTCCCAATATAGTTTATGTAAACAGTGATGAGGAAACTGAGGCACAGAGGTTGATAACTTTCCCAAGGCCAGTGAGAGGAGAGATTAATATTAAAACCCATCTAAGATGGCGATGTAGGAAGATCCTGACCCACTTCCTCCCACAAACACACCAAATTGACAGCTACAAATGGAACAATTTCCTCTGAAGGTAACCTCAAAACTAGCATTCCTATGCATTAGGCAAACAAGAAAAAAACCATATCCAAGTGGGTAGGGGAGGCTGAGACAATCTCACCACAAACCTCACCCCTGGTGTGGTAAGAAAGTGGAGGGAACTCAAAACCCCAAGCTGCTCCATGAGGAACAAAAGGTTTAAATCCCACATTGAGCACCCCAACTTTTAAGACCAGCACCTGAGGGCTGAGACCCACAAGGTTATAGCAGCTGAGAAGCAGTTCTTATAGGGTTCCAGCAGACTCACCCACTCAAGGTGTACCACAGGGGCAGCCAACAGAAAAGCACCTAGACTTTCTGTGAAACAGGCTTATTTGCTTATCTTGAAGCATCTGCCTGGGGAGAAGGCATCTGATTTAACAGCATCTAGAGGCCTACTGAAATACTCTGCAAAGATGGAGGCCCACAGGTACCACCTTTGCGCTCTCCCTCTACCTCACCTCACTGGTATCTTCCAGAAAGGAGCTTAAAGTCTTGTCAGGCACTGTAATTTTTGTGGCTGCCACCCACAAAAAGTGGCCAGCAGGGCTTATGTTTTCAGGTCTCCTAGGACTGTAAACAAAATTGACAAGCCCTTAGTTAGACTCACTGAGGCGAAATGAGAAATCAAGTAAGTAAAATCAGAAACGAAAAAGATGTTATAACTCATACCACAAAAATACAAAGGATCATAAAAGCCTATGAATAAATAAATGCCAACAAATTAGAAACAAAAGAAGTGGATAAATTCCTAGACACATACACCATACCATGACTGAATCATTAAGAAATAGAAAGTCTACTAGTAACTGACCAATTACTGGGAAAGAGATTGGTAAACATAGATGCAAAAATCCTCAACAAAATTATGAGCAAACTGAATTCCATAACGTATTACAAAGATCATACACTATGATCAAGTAGGATTTATTCCAGGGATTCAAGGTTGGTTCAATCCATCAATGTGATACACCACCTTAACAAAATGAAGGATAAAAATCATATGATTACCTCAAATGCAGAAAAAGCACTTGACAAAATTTAACATTCACTTCTGATAAAAAAAACTCTCAATAAAGTAGATATAGAGGGAACAGAAAATAAGGCCATATGGCAGCTAACATCATCTAAGGTCAGGAACAAAACAAAGATGTCCACTCTTGGCACCCTTTGTCAACATAGAATTGGAAGTCCTAGCCAGAGCAGATAGTCAAGAAAAAGCAATAAGAGACATCCAACTTAAAAAGGAAGAATAAAACTGTCACTATTTGCAGGTAACTATATATATACTAGAGGCCCAGTGCACAAAAATTTGTGCACTCGGGGGTCCCTCAGCCCAGCCTGTGCCCTCTCGCAGTCTGGGACCCCTCGGGGGATGTCCACCTGCTGGCTTAGGCCTGCTCCCCGGGGGATTGTGCCTAAGCTGGCAGTGATACATCCCTTGGGGGATGTCCACTTGCCAGCGGGCCGAAGCTGCAGTTGAACATCCACAGAGCTGCTGAGGAGGCAGGAGAGGCTCCCACCATCGCCGCTGTGATGCCGTCAGCCTGGCTTGTGGCTGAGCAGAGCT